CATGTTTAGTCTCCAAATGAGGAGCTAAACTCTTCCATCTTGGTTTTGCTACTTTGAAGCTTAATGGATTGTAAGTTGTGAGTTATTTTCTTTAATCTTCTTCCTTGAATATTAATTTTTCCCTTAATACTATCTCTATATTAACATCTCGACATTAGTTAGAGTAGTATTTATTTTCTTCCTCTATATTAATGTTGGGGAGTGTTACTAAAATGACAATTAGTTAACATGTTGACATTAGTTATAGTAGGATTTATATCTTCTTTAATATTCTTCCTTGAATATTAATTAATTCCTATTCATATTTCATTTTAATATTTTGAGCACTACTTAAATTATCAACTAGTTTTGTCTCATATATTAATTATTACTAGAATCGATCGACGAATACACTTGTTAATCGTTCGATCGTTTCATGGTAGTAAACTTGAGTTATTAATGCATGCGTTTCATGGTTAATAAACCAAGGGGAATTAATTATGTTGATTAAACCAATAAACCGCTTGTGTTGAGGTTATCAATCTCAATCGTTTTCATCTTGATTTTATTACTACTATCGGGTTAATATACGGTGCGTGTTCTATATTAACTCGGTAGTAAGTTTTATTAATGAATGTGTCTCGTTATTAATAACTACCCTCGATGAACTGGATATACTCATCGATTGAGTATTCGAGAGGAAGATAGTTAAAGATATAACCGGGATCGACGAACATTTCATTAAGTGGATAAAAGCAAAACCAAGTCTTCATCTCTATCTATTAAAGTAAATCACATAAGTCGTTCATCTTAGTGTTAATTAATTAAAATCAAACACAACTAAAATCCCCCCTTTGTTACTAGTTATAATATAAATAAAAATATTTCTTTCCATGTGGATACGAACCTTACTTCAATATACTACATATATTTGTTGTATTGATTATTATTTTGAGTGCACACCACGACAAAGTGCACGTCAGTCATACTCCTCTCCATTTCTTTCTCTCCATTACTCTCTCCATTTCTTTTTCACTCTATCTCTCTCCTTAAAAATAATAATTAAATCTCATCTTTTATTTTTCCCTACCCCACCATTTCTCCATTTGTCTCTGTATCTCTCCTACTGGAGAAGTCCAGTAACTGGAGAGAAGTAAAATTCCCAACAACAACATTCAAGCCTTATACTCAGAAAAGAGCATCACATTAAAAATGAATCGACACATGATATCATGAAGAGAAGAGAAAGTATGAAAAACGTAAGATAAAATGGATATGATAAAAATAAATACTCCTGGATAAGATAAAGATAAAACGTAAGATAAAAACAAAAAATGTAAGATAAAAACGTAGTATAAGATAAAGAAAACATAAGAACATAAGTAGAGAGCAAATTGTATCATGCCGGCCTGACAGAAACCGTCGTCAGGATGAGGCCATTTGGGGACCTTCCCAGTAGAATTTTTTGATGAAATTGTTTGAGCATGTTCTTCACCAAGTCTAGTTTATCCATATCAAAAATCAACTAAAAATTCAACCGGAAAGGTAGTCAAATAAATTATTTACAAAAATTGTGTTCTATATATATATATATATATTATGGATCAAATAAAAAGTGCTTCCTAGGTGAAAAATAAGAACTAATATTGGCCATTGATATTAAATATGTATATATATATATATACAGCGCAATTTTCTTCAACAATTTATTTGACTGTCTTACCGATTGAAATTTTAGCTAAAATTTGATATGGATAAACTAGATTTCATGAGGAACATGTTAAAAAAATTCATCAAAAAAATTCACCGGACAGGGCCTCTGATGACCTCGGCCGGGAGGCGAGTCTTGTCAGGCCGGCCTGGACATAAGATAGTAACTCATAAAAGAAAATATAAAAGAACACAAGAACAATAAAAGATAAAAATATCATAAGAACATAGAAAGATTTTTTTTACCGTAAACATAGAAAGATAAAGAATATAAAAGATATAAGAAAAAGAGTTATAAAAATGAATTCACACACATGGAGTGCTCTTGCCTCTTGATTTATGTTATAAATTGGTAACTAAGGATGGCAATGGGGGTGGGGACCTGTGGGGAACCGCCCCACGGGGGAAGGATGGGGCGGGGCTTGGGCCGGGCCGGGGCAGGGATGGGTGAGAACTTTTTACGCCGTTAAAATATGGGGCGGGGGACGGGTATTGCTACACCCGCCCCGTCCCCGCCCCATCCCCGCCCCGTCCCCGTTAAAAATATATACTCAAACATATATATACACATATATAAATAATGTACACACATTAAATTTAATTATATGTAGCATATAACAAACACATATACATATAGACATACATAATTGTATACGGTTTAATCATGGTTAATGAATTAATACATACTATACAAGAATATGAGTTTTAAGAGTGAGAAAGTGAGTACATAAATACACACACATTTATATGTAATATGTAATTAATTGTATTAAAATTTTAGAGAATTTTGAAACGATGTACATAATGATAATATGTTTACTTATATTTTTACTTTAACTGTCTTCAATTCACAAAACTTATTCAAATTGAAGAATTATTAAAATTGACGGCATTAACTTTTAACAAACACAATACTTTAGTGTTGCATGTGTGTGTATCATATATCATTGTGTGCGCGTAGATATATATAGGTTTATGATCAAACAAGAACAATTCTTAATGTGAGAACGTGCGAACACCACATTTACCCCCCAAATGTGAAACACAATGGGCTCGCACAATGCACTTTTTCGTATCTAGCATAACATTTACAAAAGTGTCACCGTAGTTATTTATATTAGCTTGTATTGAGCAAAGTCCAAATGTGCACTAGAACGATCTATTGTGTATCACATTGGATTAAATGTGAGTAAAGTCTAGATGTGCACTAGGACTCTATTGTGTATCAAATTGGATTAAATGTGAGTGTTCCCAAGTTAAGCATCGTTCTCATTGGAATCACACTACATATATTTATAATAAGAGATTAAAAGTATATGGGGACATCCGTGGGCACCCATGGGGGACAACAGGGTGGGGCGGGGATGGGGCAAGTCTGTGAGTAACGGGGGATGGGGCGGGGATGAGGGGACTTTTTAGACATGGGATGAGGAATGAGGGAGTGTACCCCGCCCCATTGCCATCCCTATTAATGGTAACTGGTAAGGCAGTGCTATCCATTCCTGATAGCGCAGCCTAGCGGCCTATTAATGGTAACTGGTAAAACACTATTGTGGAATGTATAGCCGCTGATAACGAGAATAGTGGGATCCAAGTAGTATTTAAAAGTGAGTTGACATTTAAAATCACTATCAAGTGATATCCCTTTATTTAAAAGAATTTGACATCAAAATATCCAAGTATTCTAATCAAATAAAACCATACTGAATTTGGAAATAATTTGAATGATGTGTGATTGTGTGTGTCAAATAAAGAGTATTTCACATACAAAACGCGAATGAATGCTCCCGGATGTACCTTTATCCACTTGTAATGCATCCTATATTCAGGGGCGGACAGTAATAGAGACCCGGGGGGTCACCGCCCCTGCAAGAATAAAAAAAATTAGTGTATATATATGTGAAAAGTTATTTTGATTAAGACCTAGATTTTTTTTTGTTTAAATTATGGCCCTTCCAACATGAATTTCATGGGTCCGCCCCTGTCTACATTCAAAGTAATGGATATTTTCCCGTGCAAAAAATACCGTTACAATTTACACATCCGTAAATCAAGTCTTAACGTTCAAACTAATACAGATTTTAAGGTGACAGGAAATTTTAGTTTTATACCAAAACGTCACCTCATATTATGTTGAATCTTCCCGAAAAATGCATCTGGGCAACGCAGGTCCCTACAGATCCATTTTTTTTGCCATGCCAAAAAACAGACTACCATACATACACTTCCACATTTACCAGTAGCACTAGCACATATACTCCGTAATAGTAATGCATACAAAACAGTAATAAAATGATACTAGACCAAAAAAACAAATTGGAGAATCAAAACTGATAGGCGTATCACAAAAATCTTCCAATCCCATATTTGTTCAGATTGGACATTTGAGTTTGCCCTGTACAAACAAGAACATATAAACCGCAATTGCACTATCTATAGATAACTGCCAAACATCACCTGCCTGGTAATATACATAGTAAGAATGAATGGCAACATGTCTATAATATGAATTTATAAGATTATATGTAGAAATCCAGCCCTCACACTATCCTGTCGTGGTTAAAACCGTTCACTTGTTTAATCCTTGTTCTGCAGCCATTGTACTCATTGTATATGTGTGGGGGTCTGAGGGCTGTATTTACATACAAGTCAGTTAATTGTTCAGGAGAGCTTGTGAGTGTTATTATTTGAATTTGTCTCGCTGTAAAAAAAACTATTGTGATCTGGTATGGGTCTCATACATGGAGTGAGCTGTGTGATCTTTTGGCAGATGTTATATATTCTTAATTTTCTGACTTTTCCTTGTATTGTGAGAAATGAAAAAGACCTCACTAAGAGTATATCTTAGTTCATTCAACAATTAGGAATGACAACGATGTATGAACACTCGGATCGTAAAATTCTCTAGGCGCTTACTTGTTCTGTAGAGCAGGATTCTATAGTTTCTGAACTATAGATTTGTACAAACTTTATATGCTTTTATCAAACATAATATCTCACATTAATGTAATCTTACAATTATTGACGACTGCAGGCTTTTTGGTTCTTCAACCGGTGATCGGTGTTCTTTTGTGAAGACAACAAAATCAGACCAAGTCTCTAAGCCCAGAACCTCAAATCCCAGCATTTTTTCTTTGATTTCCCTATGACTTCTACACTGACCATCTCTAACCTTGTCAAAACCATTTTACAAATACTGGCACTTTAATTTATGAATGGGTTTCAATCTTTAGAGTAAAAACTGACCTATTAAGTTTTTTGCGAAAAAAGATCTCAGGCACTCGGATGACTAAAGAATCAGAAGTATGAAGCCAATAAGATGTAAATAAGCATTCTTTTCATTCCAAAGACACTCGAAAGAATAAGAAAAGATAGACATGTTATGCATTGATCCAGTCTTTACTAATAATTAAAAAGGGGTTAAGGGGGGAAAGGAAAATTTGAAACAAATGAATCATGCAAGACCACTTGACATCCCTCCATGTGAAGCAGTGATTTCTGGAATGGGAGTCTGTTGGAGATCTGGTCATCTGGTCCACCGTTCTTCATCTTCTTCTTTATAGCTGAGAAATTAACACCAAGCACAACCCCTAGGCAAGAATGGAAGATAATCATTAAACATGTGCGCCTGTGAATGCAGAACATTTAGGCCAACATTTAGGTAAAAAGGATTACCTAAAAGTGAGACCAAAGATGGTTTGAAGGCATTTTACATATTTATGGAGGGCTGGAACCTAAACGGAAATAGCTTGTACTATCGTATTTGGTATTGTTGACACATCAAAGGTGCTGATTGGGTCACATGAGTTCTTGTTCTATTCAAGATTCACGCACTGTGGATTCTAAAATATTATACTATGCACTAATGTTAGGGTTTTAACTCATGGAAGTGGGTTGAAATTGCTCAGGCCTTTGAATGTCGGAGTCTGAGAGCGCTCACTTGAGAGTTGAGACAGAGAAGCTCCACTTACAAATATCCATGTCATCAAAGAACATAAAACCCCAATTCTTATTCAACTGTCATGGATTTTCAGTACACAACCAAAAACCAAAGCATCTGTTGAGAGTGTTGTTATAGTAATCATCACTCAAATTAGAAACACAGACATAAGCAGTTCCAAACTTCCAATAGGCATTAGCCTCTACAAGGTGGAATCATTTGAACCGGGTTCAACCAGTTCTGCCACCAAAGCCTGACAACCTTCTGAATGTGCAAGCAACTAAAATCCTTCCCGAAATAATACTTAACCTTGCTTTGAAGGATGTTGACCTTCCACCACCACTGGATGCAATACTACTACTACCATCAGCACTCCCCTCTTGGCCAATTTCAGGGGCACCACCATCACTTCCCAGGTTCTCCAACTGATCACAAGTATCTAAATTTACAGCAATTGAATCCCTACTTCCCCTCAACTCGTCAGCACCCTCAGAAGTTACTAGGCTGCATTTTTTAACCTTCACCTTTATCAAGTTTGGACACCCTCGGGCAAGAGCTCCCATTCCCAGGTCAGACACCGGGCAACTCTTTATACAGAGCTTCTTCAGCGCAATGCATTTCGCAGCAATGCAGGACAGCTCCGGATCCCCTACAGTCTCACTTCCACACAGAGCTAACCTTTCTAAATTCACACAATTTGTAGCGAGTTTCTCTAAACTTGTTCGAGTTGGATTGATGCCAATCAGAACCAGTTCTTGCAGATTAAGGCAGTGCTCTGCCACAGCAAGCAACCCATCATCGCTTATCCTATTTGTTTTCCACCCATCAATATGAAGCTTTCGGAGAATTTTGCAGTGTTCAGCAACATTCATAAGTCCGAAGTTGGTACATTCTGGTGTTTTCACAAGTTGAAGGATTTCCAGATTCGGACAGTTGGAAATAGCAGAGAGACCAGCGTCACTAACCTGAAGCCTTTCAAGGTGAATCTCAACGAGTCCGCTGACCTGGCAGGCAATCCTTTCTAGAACCTTGTCCCAATCACCAATGCACCTGAAGAGCTTAAGCGTCTTCAGGTTCTTAGATCCAACAATTAATGGTCCGAAACACTGTCCATGGTAAAGCTCTTTCAGGCAGATAACTTTTAGCGATGAAAGAGCTACGTCAGATCCAATCGGGTGCGCAGAAGCCGGGTCTGTGATACCAAGCAGACGTTTCACTGATAGTTCTTCTAGGAACGTACAGTTTTGTAGAACAGCGTTCATACCTTTGGATCCAAAGGTGCAAGATCCGCAAGAGAGCTTCTTCAAACCCTTGCAATTCTTAGCAAAAGCCTCTATTCCGGCATCGGTGATCTCTCGGCAAGAGCGAAGCTTCAGTCGATCCAGATTCCGGCAACGGAGGGAGATAAGTACCAAGGCCTCATCACCAATACTCACCGATCTGCGGTCACATTTCAACGCGAGTTTGGTGACCGCATCGAATCGGGAAAAGACAGAAGGAACCGCAGCGGAAAGGTCAGAAACAGCGTTAAGCGAGAGACGGTGGCGACTCTGCCCCTCGACCCTCAACCACCTACGACAGACGAGGGAGCACCGCTTCCGGTCGCCGGAGCTAAGAGACTGGAATACGCAAGCCAGGCACTCATCAGGTATCTCGTAGGTGTAGTCGCACGACGCGCCGTCGGAAAAGGCATCGGTGACGTCATCGGAACCTCCACTGTCCTTCACTGGGGAAACCGATGCCGTGGATCTGGACTTTGCTCCTGCGGCGGTGGAAAGTAACTGGCCCATAAAGGACACCGTATGAGGACGGCGCAGAGTTTGGGTAATACTCACTAAATCTATCTCTATCTTCTTCTTCTCCAGGTGATGCAAAGTAGTTATCTTTTTCCTGCCATGAACGTGAATTGCCCCTGTAATTCAGATTCCGTAGAGAAGATTTGTTTGCTGAAAATCCCCCCTTCGCGAAAATTGTTATATCCACTCCGACTTTGGAGATAAACTTTAATGGGAGCGACCCCACTGTACTTGCCGTGTGGGCTACTATGTTTTGCGTTCATCTCTTTGCCACCGCCGCTCCTTCTACTTCCCTCCCATCCACGCATATATAATACGGAGTAATAATTTAATAAAGCCTCCTCCTAGATTAACTTACTTCCCAGTTTTCACTCTTGTGTTTACCATTTTTACAAATTATAATTAGGGGTTAGTTAACCAATGACCATTTAACTTATTCCATCAATTTCTGTTCATGAGTAATTAAGATTGAGCGACTCTAGTTGTATATTCAGTAGGTAATTAATTATTGTATAGTACTGGAGCAATTCGTTAAGATAGGATGTGCAAAAAAGAGCAACTTTCTCTAAATCATTATCTTAGATTATTGTGATTTTTGTATAAAAAGCATTAAAAGAGTATCTCTCCTACAAAAACACATGTCCGCATTTTTATATATTAATTCACCAACGTATTACTTTTCTTTTTCTAATTTTCTTGATTACAAACATTGTTCCATTTCTTCTCCAGTTTAATTGTTTTTCTTCTTGTTAAATTATGATTGAAATCTTTTCAAATTAAAAGGCAATATGTTCTTTCTAAAATGAGGATGTGTGCCACTTTTTGAATCAACTAATTTTTTAATTTACATATACTACGTAGCAGCTTCATCTCATAGTACGGAGCAGCTATATCAGGAGTTCCTCGCTCCTGGCTACTTGCCATTTGAAAGAATCTGAGCTATGCGTTATTATAATGGATTATATAAGGAAAAGTATCAAACGGCTTACCCAATTTTCCATATTTGTTAGAGAAATAATCTGGTTTCAAATTTTGATTATGGATTTTTTATAAATAATCTTTGCAAACAATTTCATTATCTCAATCATAATCTCAAAAAAAATCAGCCACATCATCATATTAATCTCTAAATAATCTAAACAATGAGGTTGCTCTTAGACTGTTGAAAAATAAACGTCTAGGGTAGTATGTCTTTTTCTGTCTTTAATCCATCTTCACATTTTATTTAAACAATAAATATCACAAAGGGTATTGCAATAGGTCGGAATTAGGCAAATTTATTATCATCCATTTTTACTTCAATTGTTTTGGGATTTTTGTCGTATCATTGTAAGAGGACATGACTCATTTTCTATACCTAAGGATCGAAATGGATTTAGAATTAGAGGTCTATAGACGGGTATCTCAAGAGTCATTAATTTGATGAGAAAAAATGAGTCAATCCAGATGAAAGTGACTCAACAAAATGTATAACTGTCAATTTTAGATAGGGATTTATGCATGTCACTCAGAAAAAACTCAAGAAAAATGACATTTATATCTAGTCTTCTTTTTCAAAATGACATTGAGCACTTTACACAATTGGATGTCACTCAGAGCGTTGAGCAACTAGAACAAAGTAATAGCGCACCTAAGAACTTTGCAGATGCTTATGACGTTTTTATGAGCCTCATGTTGCAAGGTTAAAGAAGAGTATTAGGCATTTCTCGCAAGGTTAAAGATGGACTTTTAGACATCCAAAAAGACATTGATCAAAAGCTCAAAAAGAAATCAATGGGAAAACTACATATTATAGGTGATTTAGACACTAAAACTTCTCCAACAACACCTACATAGGATTATGGTTTCATAGTCACTTCCAAATATCCAAAAGACACACCAGGACAACAATGAGCAATATTCAAACATGTCTCCAAACCAAGCTCCCTGGTTTGAATTGCTGATTTCCTTTAATTGTTGTACTTCTTTGCATTTTATTTAAACACGTATTCAAACACGTCTTCAAACCAATATCCAAAAGAAACTTTCATAAATACTTTTTCTAAATTATTGATTTCCTTTAATTGTTGTACTTATTTGCATTTTATTTCTTGCACTCTTTCTGGTTAATAAAATTAAGTAAATACCTCCCAACATTTAGGATGTTTTCTTTTGGACTGAAATTTGTTGGTCTAGTCTGGTCTGGTCTGTTTAAGTCTGGTCTGGTCTGTTCTGGTTTGAACTGGTCTGGTCTGGTAAACGTCTGGTCCCTGTGTATTTTATAACTACGAAAATTTGGTCCGGTCTGTTTAAGTCTGATCTGGTCTGGTCTGTTTAAGTTTTGTGGTTCGTCTTTTGGGATGAAAAGAAAAAAATCACAGGGAGATGGACTATTACTTTGATTAATTTTAATTTCTAAAAGATTTTTTTTAGATCAAGTAAACCAAAAAACATAGGAACCTGCAACAACTCGAACTAAATGAAATCAAATCATTTTTAATCCGAACTTGAAACCAAACAAAACGAAACCATTCTCAAACCGGACTAAAACTAGATCGATCGAAATCAAACCGAAACATAAATGATTTTGATTTAATTTGGTATAGTATCTCCGAAAATGGAACAAATCAAAACTGAAAAAATTGAAGCTTGTCCAACCCTAATTTTACCTTTTCGATCAATCATGTTTTAATGTGTCTGCAAAAGCAAACATACACGACTTATGATCTAGGAGATACTATTGTTTTTATTAATCAACTAATGATGCTTGAAATGGGTAATTTAAAATTAAAAAAAAAGTCCCATGGCTCGAGTCTGTGGCGATGTAGTGGAATATTTAGAGATTGTAATAGGTTCACTAACTGGCCAACTCATGATTCTGGAATTTGCATTGGGTTGAAAACTTGTGAATGTTTCTTGAGAATTCTCTGAGAATTTCGATTTGATGGTTTTGGTTAGCCCAACTCTTTAGCCCAACTCGTAGTACATGTTTCGAGTAATGATTTTTTATTAAAAGAGTTTTGATCATTCATTAAGATTACGTGCTTCATATAAAATATGTTAGTCTCTTTACTAAACTTATTGTAAGAATTGTTATTGTAATAAAAGAATCAAACTTTGTGCTTCACTTTTGAGGTGGGATTATATGTCTATGTTTCACCATTTTTACTTGTATTAGCATGATTTTAGGAGGGGCGGCCCTGTATATTCGAAGGCCTAGGGCGAACAATAAAAAAATGGGCCTAATTTTAAAAAAAAAATGTAAAACACTTTTCTACCTAAATAAAAATGCAAAATAATAATATTTAAATACCTTTAGAATAAAGAAAATACTTGAATTCGTTAAATTAAACATAGTCGAATAATGTATTCAAAATAACCGAATAAAAAATTATTTAATGATAAATAACGCCCCGATACAATACACTTGCTAAGGCCGGTGTCATAAACTATAGCGTCATAATCAAGCTTTTCTAAGACATTATTATGCTCAATACTTAATATAGCTAATCAATTAGTTAAATTTATAAATTTAACTAATTGAACTGCACGTTAGTTCTTCCTTTTTTTCAATTTTGGGCCTTTTGCGTTCTTGGGCTTCCTGAACTTGTACAAATATACTATAAAGAAATAATTCTGGGCCTAAAAATTTTTCATTTTTTTTGGGCCTAGAGCACCCGCCCCACCTGCCCCCCCCCCCAGGGCCGCCCCTGGATTTTAGATCTCACCTATATATATATGGCTATATGGAGAAAACAAGACAGAGTGATCGAACTACATTCTGTCTTGTGTTTATAAATTATTTATGATGAAAGTACCTAACTATTAAGTGGCCGTTTGGAGGACAAATAATGGGCTTATAAGCCTGAAAGTTGAAAAAAATGCCAAATACCCATTAAATGACCTACTTTGGCTGATTATTATTATAGCAGAAAAAGTTAATATATGGCTACTTTTTGAGCTGATATGTATTATTTTAATGCTGGAATACATGGTCAACTTCTTGCTGGATTGCTTCTTCTTTTTTGTAAAGTAAGTTCTGTGTTCTTCTTTCCGTAACCACGTTTCTCTCCAGTGACATACGATAGTATATGATACGTAGTAATTGTTATTACGTTTTTGTTCATCTCAATTGTTCATAAATGGATTCATTGAGAAGGGATCTTAAATATGGAGTATGTTATTTAATTTTTGCTGAATTTCTTCTTAATCGAACAAGTATGATGTTACTTTTGTTTCTCGCGAATAATCTTCCAACTCTCGGGGTACGACGACAATATAGTCGTGAGCTATATGAAACTGGCTCAGAAGGAATACCCTTTACTTGGGTGAAACACGAGGGTGGGCCGGGTGGTTCTTCGGAAAAACTAGACAGAGGGGTTTGGAATATTGAGGCAAACATTAGCTTCCCAGAAGCAAAATCCTTTAACCTCCCTCGGTTACATTCAGACCACCATCCAGTTCTATTCTCAAGTAATTTTGAACACCCGGTTTGGCGGGAACGTCCACTCAGATTTGAGGCAGTCTGGATGCTACATGATTCGTTGCAACCACTTTTTACGAATGCCTGGAAAGTAAGCTCTAATTCTATAGATGACGCTATTCATCAAGCTATGTCATCCAGCAAGGAGTGGAGTAAATACGAATTTGGGGATGTTTTTCGTCAAAAGCGACACCTCAGAGCTAGAACCCAAGGCATACAGAAGTCACCGAAATATTCCAATTCTTGATAGAGTGGAAATGTTGTGGTTCTAAAGATGGCGGGTGGAATGGATCAAAGGTGGAGATCGGAATACAAGTTACTTCCACAAAGCTGCTAGCATTCACCACAATAAGAAAAACATTTAGAGACTTAAGATTAATGGCAACTGGTCCACCAACCAAGAGGAGTTGGCTGCTCATATTCAAAAGTACTTTACAAAACTATTCAGTGATTCTACTGACTGTAGGAGAGAATTCATGCAAAATCTCGAGTGCCCTAAGATCTCCACTAATCAACATAATGACCTCATGAAGGAGGCTGGCTTGGATGAGGTCAAAGCCACTGTTTTTGGTATGAAAAGCTTTAGCAGCCCAAGGCCTGATGGGATGCCAGCGGCGGTTTATAAAAAAAATTGGGATACAGTGGGTCCTACAATTCAAGAGTTTGTAAATATGGCACTACGCACAGGACACATCCCAAA